CGTAATGTCCACAGAGGCCAGAAGAGGGCGTTGAACCCCTTGGCACTGGAGTTACAGATGGTTGTTAGTTCCCATGTGGATGCTTGGAATCAAACCATGGTCCTCAACAAGAGCAGCTACTGCTCTTAACCACTGAGCCATCTCTCCAGCCTGACTCCCCACTTTTTAATATTATTCTACCCAGACAAAAAAATGGTGTCAAGAGTAAAGTTTTGTCCTGCATACTTTTGTATAAATTCATGTTTTGAATTAACAATGTGATTTTCTTTTCATATCTGGATTTTTTTTTTCCCCTGTGAAATATCCATTTGTATTTCTGTGTGTGAGTATTCATTTGTGAGTGAGTGAGGGTGCATGTGGAGGTCAGAGGACAACCTTGAGTGTTGTGTTCCTCACCTTCCATCTTGTTTCAGGCAGGGTCTCCTGTTCATTGCTAGGTCTGTCAGGCTAGCTGGCCTGTGAGCCATCAGGGATTCTCGTGTCTCTGCCTCCTGCCTCACTGTGTAGAAGCTCTGGAGTTGCAGATGTGTGCTACTGCATCTGGCTTTACGTGGATCCTGGGAATGCAAACCCAGGTTGTCACATGTGGAAGGTATCTCCTTAGCTCCCTTTGTATTTTTTAACCAATATTATATTAACATATTCATTTTTCCTTACTGATTTATAAAAAAATTTAAAGGAGAAAGTCCTCAAATATTTCCCCAAGGTTTTATTTTTTATGTTATGTGTTTTTAAGAAAAAAATGGTGAGTTTTTTGTTTTGTTTTTTGAGACAGGCTCTCCCTGTAGCCCCAGCTGGCCTGGAACTCACTATGTAGACCAGGCTGGTCTCTGTCTCACAGAGATCCTCCTCTGTCTCTGCCTCCAGAGTACTGGGATTAAAGGTGTGTACCACCAGGCCTGCCTCTAAAAAAATGGTTTTGACAAAAAAAGTTGTATATATTTATGGTGTATAACATGATGCTTTTGATATGTGTACATTGGAGGGTTAGGCTAATTAGCTTGCATTACACTCTTGAAGCTTCTGGTAATCCCTCTTCTGTTCTCAGCTCCTGTGGGTTCAGCTTTTTGAATCTACATGTAAATGAAATCATGTCGTATTTGTCTTTCTATGCCCAACTTATTAATATTTTATTTAACCTATGTCCTCCAGTTTTATCCATGTTAGTACAAATGATAGCATTCCTTTTTATGGCTAAAGCAGGCATAGCCAACATTTTGACATTGAAACATGTCATCACCTGAAAAGTGCACTCAAGAACTACCCCCCACACCAGGAAAGCCTCAGATTTCAACTAAATTGTGATGCTTGTGTGATTAGTATTCATGGTGTATATATAAACCACTTGACAGTCATTTATCAGTCTATGTACTTAAGTTGTTTGTTTCTTGGCTGTTGGGGACAGGGCTGGAGTAAACATGAAGGTGAGATGCTTCTTTAGCATACTGATGTAATTTCTTTTGGATATATACTCTGAAGTAGGATTGCTGGATCATTGATGTAGTAGTTTTGTTTTTAATTGTGGGAAGACCTTTGTACCGTGTTCTATGACTATTCTAATTTACATTCCCATCAGCAGTGTTCAAGTTCCATTTTTTCCACATCTTTGGCAGCCCTTGTTATATTTAGTAGCCCACTGTTACTGGAGTGAGGTGCCATCTCATTGTGATTTTGAGCTATATTTTCCTGATGATTGGTGACATTGAACACTTTTTCATTTACCTATTGGCCATTTGTGACTTGGTTATGTTTTTTGCTATTGAGAAATTACTCCAAATTTTCTTCATCAGCTTCATCTTCATATTAGTTGTCATGGGTTATGTCACACTTGTTTATCCATCAGGACAGGATTTGTGAACATGGTGAGCATAATAGAATTTGGTTGCTTTCCTTCCCCTCTCATTTCAGTCTGTGTGCAGCTTACTGCTCCTTTCCATCAGTAGCTGGGTGTAACTGAAGCCTTTGGCTCTATTGTAAGTGAATGTAGGAGAAACTGGCACTAATTAGGCTTTCCTCCTGTAAGTGTTTTGGATCAGGAAGTGGTGGATCTTAGTATATTCTTAGGTTCAGATGCAGATACAGATTCTCTCCAGATTCAGCTATATGCCCAGTTATCCTAATCAATTTCAGAAGGAGTGTGTGTCTGTGTGTATCAGTGCATGTTTATAATAGCATTATTTATAAGATAGAAACAGTCCAAATGTCTATCAACTGATAGGTAAATAAAATGTAGCATCTTTGTACAGAGGAATATTATTTGGCCATAAAAGGATATATGCTTCAGTATGAATGAACTTGAAAATGTGCTAAATGAAAGAATCAAGTCATGAAGGATTACATATTCATTTCCATGAAATAGAATAAATCTGTGGCACTTTAGTAGGAAGTGGTGGGATTGGGAGGTAATGTTACTAAGAGATTTCTTTTAAGAGTAATAAAAGTGTTACATTGTTTTTTAGATGGTCTCATTATGTAGCCTAGGCTAGCCTCAAATTTATGGTTCTCCTGCCTCAGCCTCACAAGTGTTGTAGTTATAAGCATGTACTATACCACACCTGACTAAGTGTATTCCAAAATCTGGAGATCAATTTGCACAAAACACTGTTGAATTGTACACATGAAATTGATGTATTTATGATATGTGAAATATATTTACAATTGCTATTAAAAACAAAAATGAAATTAATTAGCTGTATTTCTTGACTTTAGAGGAGTTTGCCAAGTTATATTTGAGTAAAGATAGCAATGGCCGGGTAAGGAGATGGCTAAGTTGGCAAAGTGCTTGCTGCACAAGGATGAGGACCTGAATTTGGAGCCCTAGTACACATGAAAACCAGGTGTGGTGGTGTGCACCTGTAACCTCAGTGTTGCTGAGGTAAAGTGAATGGAGATAGGCAGATTCCAGAGCATCGCTAGCCATCCAGCATAGCTGAAGCATTGAGCTCCAGGTTCAGTGAGAGAAAATAAGGTGGAAAAATGATTGAGGAATACATCCTGAAGTCAACTTCTGCCATCCACACATGCCCACATGGAACACAGCCACACATACATGTACACATGTATGCATACAACACACATACACAAAAGCAAGATGTAGAACATACATGTCTGTTTTTTTTAAAAACTGATATTACTGCATATGAATATATGCGTCTATAGGATCATGTAATAGTATACAAGGATATATAAACTAGGTAGCTAATGAGGCACCCAGATAGGGAAGTCTTTTAGGACTCTAGAAGAACCACCAGATTATATACATAGATATAGGAAAGAGGACATTTTTGGGATCACATGATCATAGAGGCTGAAAAGTCCCATAACCAACCATGTTCAGGCTAGGGACCTGGAGATGCCAGTAAGTGTGATTCCATCCAAGAATGAAGGCCTCATAACCAAGAAACTGATGTTGTAATTCTCAATTCAAGACTGCCTGCAATCCTGACTGCTGTTCAAGTCCCGGATTTGAAAGACCATAGAACCTGTACATCTGGTATCCAACGGCAAGAGAGGAAGGTAACGGGTTGGCCTTGTGTGTTTTAGCTCTCTGCAGGCCTCAGTTGATTAGATGCCCATACTGAGGGTGGTTCTCCTGCCTAGTCCACTTGTAGTAAACTGAATCACAGGCTAATCTCCTGCAAACACCCACAGAGACATATCAAAGTAGTGTTTTTCAGAGTTCCTTGGTGTTCCTCTGGCATGTTGATTCTTAAGGGGAGTAGCAGGGGTACTGATGCAAGGATAGGGAGCTCATAGGGGAGGGATAGCAATGCAGTGCAGGAAAGGACGACAGACCACACCAGGCAAGAAACCCAGGAGCTGCCATGTTTGCAGCGTACTTTCAAATGGCCAATGGAAAGTGTGCATGATTACATATACATGCTATGTCTATACACATACATGAACAGATAAAGCAGATATGACCCAACACAACCTATGGTTGACTCTCCAGGGTGTCAATGAGGGATTGTGTGGATAATCATTTTATTAGTTTATCACTTTTTAATCTGTTTGATAATCATTAAAGGGGGCAGAAGCTCTACCAGAATGTTTTCTATTATAAGTAACATGAATTCTTTTTTAAAAAGGCTTGTTTTATAGCCGGGCATGGTGGCGCACGCCTTTAATCCCAGCACTTGGGAGGCAGAGCCAGGCAGATCTCTGTGAGTTCAAGGCCAGCCTGGTCTGCATAGTGAGTTCCAGGATAGCTGGGGCTACAGGGAGACCCTGTCTCAAAAAGACCAAAAAAAAAAAAAGACTCGTTTTATTTGTGTATGTGTATATGTGCTTGTGTGAGTTTATATGTACCATGTATGTATGCAGGTGCTTGCAGAGGCCAGAGGTGTCAGATCCCCTGGAACTGGAGTTAGAGTTGATTGTGAGCTACCTGATGTGTATGTTGGGAACTGAACTCAGGCTTTCTGCAAGAACATTAAGAGCTCTTAATTGCTGAGCCATATCTCCATCCTTTTTTTTCAAATTCTTAATCACACTTAAGTAGGAAGAAAAACTTAAATGATTCACAATGATAAAATTATTTTTCTACTCCTTTTGGGTTTTGTTTAAAATTCTTAAGTTATTTGGAATTTCATATTTTATGTTTATTAACTGAGTTTTCTGAATTTGCTTTTTTAAGGTAGATGGTTACATTTGAAAATGCTGGTTTTGTGCTTCTTTGTAATATTTTTGTCAGTGTTCTTGCTTTATGGCATAGGCTAGGACATCTAGAACAGTTACAAAGATGCTGAGTGGGCTTCTGTTGTTACTGTTCTCGTTGCTGTGACAAAATGCGTGAGGAGAGCAACTTAAAGGAAGAAGGGTTATGTCAGCTTGCAGCTTGAAGATCCAGTCCATCATGGCAGAAAGCATGGTGTCAAGAGGGGCTCTAGCTGGGGCAGCAAGATCCTGAGGCTGCTGTTCCCACTGTGTCCTCAGTCATTGAACACAGACAGATGAATGCTGGTACTCAGCTCGCTTTCTCCTTTTTCCTCTTTATTCAGTCTGGGACTGCAGCCCATGGGATGGTGGCACCCGCATTCATGACAGATCTTCCATCCTTAGTTAAATCTCTGTGGAAAAGCCCTAACAGCATGTCCAGAGGTATGTTTCCTGGGTGATTATTTATTTATTTATTTATTTATTTATTTATTGTTTTTATTTTATGTGTATGAGTGTATTGCCTGCATGTATGTGAGTGCGCCTGTGTCATGCAATGCCGCAGAGGTCTGAAGAGGGCTTTGGATTCCCCTGGAACTGGAGTTAAGGATGGTTCGTGACTGCCATGTGGGTGCTGGGAATCGCACCTGGGTCCTCTGCAAGAGTAGTCAGTGCTCCCAACCACTGAGCCATCTCTCTGGTCCCTCTTGGGTTATTCTAACCCTTATCAAGTATCTGTATGTAAAATTTCAAACAGCAATCTTTTGTTCTGGTTTTAAGTTTTATGCTTGTTTTCTAATCAGTGTTGTAAGCTAAGGAAGTTTTCTTCTAACATTAATATAGTTAATACAGTAAAAATAACTGCAATAGTCAAATCATAAAATTAAATGAAAAAAAAAAAACTTATGACAAACAATCCTAAAATCTTGAGCAGAAGTGATAGCTGAAGACAGTGATAATCATGAGATGATGGACTTGGGAGGTGGCTCAGTGGTAGAGTGCTTTGCCTTGCATGGTTAAGTCAATTCCTAGTACCTTAAAAAAATAAACAAGAACAGGGTAATCATGTAATAGGACTACCAGAAGTTCTTCTATTCAGACAAAAGGTTACTTCTAGGTATTTCCAAATCAGTATGCCGGAGTGAAACAAGCCAATCAAGATGTCACAGAGCAGCCAGGCATGGTGGCACATGCCTTTAGTCCCAGCACTCGGGAGGCAGAGGCAGGCGGATCTCTCTGAATTCAAAGCCAGCCTGGTCTACATAGCGAGTTCCAGGCCAGTTGGGACTACAGGAGACCCTGTTTCAAAAAGAACAACAACCGAAAAAAAAAGATGTCACAAAGCCTGTGATGTCTGGGAAGTGCTGCCACTGACCGGTGCTGGAATGAGTTTCACTGGCTCAGTTCTGAGACTGACGTGTGATGAAAAACCATCTACATAGAAGTATGTTAGTTTACCAGAAATAAGTAAATATGCTGTTCTTAGTCCTGCTTTAAGGAATGTTCATTTTGTCAATTAAATGAATTAGTTGGCTTTCAAGTATACTGTTCTTAAATATATTCAAGGGATATGTGTGCATTCTTATGAATATATTCTTAATGAATCTATTAATATTCATCAGATTTTAAACTAAGTTCAAACTTTTCCAATATGGTCAAGAATACAAGCCATGAATATGAATATTTGCTGATGAAAATGTGACATATTCTTAGTAAATATGTTGATATTCATTAAATTTTAAACTAGGTTTTAAAATGCCCCAATACGGTCAAGAACATAGCTCATGAATATGAATATAAACTTATAAAAATGTTCATGAATATATTCATGTTCATTAATTTTAAACTGTATTAAAAAGTTTTCCCAATAGGGAAAAGAAGAATGTATTCATGAATATATTCATAAGAAGGATATATTCGTGGATATAATCATAAAGAATATATTCATATTTATTGAATATATTCACAAAGAATATTTTCATAGGAATACTAGCTCATTCTACAGATCTTTGCTTTTGTATAAATTAAATACTTAAAAAATGCTACTGTGAAGCAAGGTAAAAATTAGTGTACCAAAATTTCACTGAAATCTTCAAAAAATGTAAGTTTCATGTATTCAGCAAATTGATCTGTTGATGAATTGGCTCCTAGCAAATAGTTCTTGGCAAATTAATTTAGAGCCTCCTCTCTCAACATAGAATGAATCATCGTTTATTATCATGTCTACTCTGGGAAAAGCAAGACAAAAAGGAAGGGGGTTTTGCAAACAGCAGGATTATTTAAGTCCTTAGAAAAGACTAACAGCACAGGGAAGTCAGGAGGGTGGGAAGGCTTCAGGTAATTGCACGACCTCTAGGAACAAAGCATGCCATGGTGAACATAGCCAGGCGTGCTTACGTCCTGCCCTTGTTCATTTTGTGAGTGTTGGTTTATTGAGGAAGAATGGCTCTGGAAGCAAACTCCATTAAGGACCCTGAACTCCCTCCTTTCAATGAGGTATAATTTATAAGCAGTAAAATGCAGAAATCTTGTACCTAGATTTCTACATTCTTACACATACACCCATAAAAATACTTCTCAGGTCAAATTAGAACACTGTTGCATCCCAGAAAGCTTCCTTTCTCCCCCTTCCTAGTTGATACTCAGCTTCTAGAGATGACCAGTGTAGATTTCTACCACCATACATTGTTCTGCCTGTTCTTAAAATTCACGTGCATGGATTATACAGTGTGTATTCTTTTTTTTTTTTTTTTGGACTTTTCAAAACAGGGTCTCCCTGTAGCCCCAGCTGTTCTGGAACTCACTATGTAGACCAGGCTGGCCTTGAACTCACAAAGCCTGCCTCTGCCTCCAGAGTGCTGGGATTAAAGGTGTGTGCCACCACACCTGGCAGTGTATTCTGATGCATATCAATAGTGTATTCTACTTTTGTTGCTGTTGTATGAATATGCAGCACATTTCTCATTTGTTCTCCTGATTTTGGGTTATTTGCTAGTTTGGTTAAGAATAAGACTACTGCATGGCAGCACACGCCTTTAATCTCAGCACTCAGGAGGCAGACTCAGGCAGATCTCTGTGAGTTTGAGGCCAGCCTGGTCTACATAGTGAGTTCCAGGCCAGCCAGGGCTGCATAATTGGACCCTGTCTCAAAAAACAAAACAAAACACAAAAACAACAACAACAAAAGCAGATTACTATTTATATTTTTGTGATTTTTATGGGCACATATACTCATTTCTGGGATGTATCTGTGTCTGTGTGATAATGTGCAGGCTCACGTCGAGGCCAGAGGTTGATGTTGTTAGGGTTCCAAATAGCAGCTCCACCCCCTCCCCAACAGGGACCTACAAACTCTGCTGAGAAGCAGCCTGCCTTTCCTCTGACCTCCAAAGATAAGATAAACAGAGTTCCTCTTATCTTAAGAGGAAAAAGAAAACACTTCCACACCCTAATCACCCTAAAGCCCCCATATGTAAAGTCGCAGCTCACAACCCATGAGCGGACATCTTTCCTGGACATCTTTCCCTTGGCGGACATCTTTCCTCTCCCTTCTCCCTTCTCCCTTCTCCCTTCTCCCTTCCCTTCCCTACCCTTCCCTTCCCTTCCCTTCCCTTTCCTTCCCTTCCCTTCCCTTCCCTCCCCTGACATCTTTCCCTGAGCTGACATCTTTCCCTTCCTGAGGGAAAGGTGCCCCGTGCGAAATAAATAAATCTGTGTCCCATTGAGAATTCCATCTGAGCCTCCGTGCCTCATCCATCCACTCGTGCTCTCCATCCACGCCGCTCGCTCCCGCCCATTCTCTACCTATCAGATGTTAGGATGTCTCCACCATGTTTTGGAGACAGGGTCTCACTGAACCTGGAGTTCATGGTTTCATCTAGACTGACTAGCCAGAGAGCCCCAGGACTTGCCTGCTGCCCCACCCTGCTGACTACAGGCATATGCCACCATGCCTGGCATTTATGGGGGGGGGGGGGAGGGTCCTAGGAATCTGACCTCAGGTCCTCATTGCTTGTGGAGCAAGCACTTTACCACTGATGCATTTCTCTATCCCAGGATGTGTGTTTGAGACAGAGTTTGTAACTCAGGCTGATGATTTTGGCCTCAGCCTCTTAAGTATCTGGATTTCTTACTCTTTTTGATGAGATTATCATCAGTTATGTGAATTCAGCACATACCTCTATTAAGGAGTATATCTACTTTGCTTTGAGACAAATACAGTAAAAAAGGAAGTTTTTAAAAATATGTAAATATGTATGTATATATAACTACATATATGTATGAATTATGTATGTATATATATGTGTATCTTCCTTTTACTATAATTTATTTTCACACCTCCAGCTGATAATCTTCTTCAGTTTATTGCTTTGTTGACAGTATTTGGTTGTACTTGGGAACTGAGGATTTTAGAGTAGTTGCCATCTGTGAAACAGAACCAAGGTGGGAAGTCAGCATGGCTGGCTTTGTGAGTTTCTTACTTCATCTTGATGTTTTGGAAATTCAAAAACAAACCCTGAGGCTTTAGACAGTTTACTACCCTGAGAGCTAATGTGAAACTTTTCCATGACTTGTTTTTACACTGGCTAGATTGAGGTGCTGGGCAGTTTGAACAGTGCTCACTCAAAGCTTGCTGCCAGCAATACTCTGAATTTCTCAGCCCATCTAAATACCTACATATTATTAAGGCTTTTAAGGTTTTAAGGGTACTCCGAAGTAGTCATTTACTTCACATGTATATTTAAGCAAGAAATTAACTGTTAAATATAAGTGGATACTGAGTGCCTTAGATGTTCCTTAGCTATATATTTTATATATAATAATGTTTGATGTTTATACAGAGAATTATGTAAATTTCTTATCTTTGTTGATTTTACCATTAAACTATGCACTTCTTAAGATTACTATCCCTGTATAGTTTATACCATCTATGCTGTGGTATTTACAATTTCTGATTAGCTACAACTTACTGTACATAACAGATGTTTACTGTTTATATTTTCAATGGGTAAATATTGGAGTCCTGGAATTAACTTTATTATAAATGATTATAAGAAATTTTAATGGAAAGAAAATTATTTGAACATAGATTTTTTTTTCTATGATATTAATCTTTTCCCATGATGTTTGTTACTGTCTTTCCCATTAACTAGGAAAGGATGTGAATTCTAACTAAGCCTTTGTATCTCTTTTCCTAACAGAGATCATCTTTTCCTCTGTGTACCTTTGTCCACTAAGTTTCTCTTTCCCAGAGTTCCACATTATATTCAGTTTATTTCGTAGCTCCTTTTGGGGGACATTTTCCTTTCTAGTGTTAAAGGACATTACCCTTTTTAGTTAGTGCACAGAATAATGGATTTTCTTAAGGCAGCTTTGTGTGCATCATTGGACTTAGCTTGTGCTTGTTCTCCCACTGCCCTCCTCAGTCCCTGCTCCCACTTCTC